GCAGTTAGGTTAACGGTGCTAAGTCTTGGCTTGCTGACATGGGACTTAGCACAAGTGATTCCTTTGTGGTATCTTGTTTTGATTTTTTTGGTTTTCTTTTTGAGTGAGAGTGCACATACATGCGCAAACGGATGGGGGTGGGGCACAGAGAGATGGAGAGAGAGAGAATCCCAAATCTGTGGCTCAGTCTCGCAACCCTGAGATCATGACCTGAGCCAAAATCAAGAATCAGACACTTAACTGATTGAGCCACTCAGGTGCTCCTTTTGTATCTTTTTTAGCAATCTTTTTTTTTAAGGTTTTATTTGTTTGTTTGTTTGTTTATTTTTTATGATAGTCACACACAGAGAGAGAGAGAGGCAGAGACACAGGCAGAGGGAGAAGCAGGCTCCATGCAGGGAGCCCGACGTAGGACTCGATCCCGGGTCTCCAGGATAGCGCCCTGGGCCAAAGACAGGCGCCAAACCGCTGCGCCACCCAGGGATCCCCAAGGTTTTATTTATTTAAGAGAGAACACAAGCAAGGGGAGGAAAAGAGGGAGAGGGACAAGCAGACTCTGTACTGAGCACAGAGCCCAGTGTGGAGCTTGATCCCACAATCCCGAAGTCACAACCTGAGCCAACACCAGGAGTTCAGTGCTCAACCCGCTGAACTACCCAGGCACCCCTTTTTTAATATTCTTTTGTAGCTAGATCTGTGATCCATTTTTAGTTAATTTTTATATGTGGTGTGAGGTAAGGATTGATATGCTTTCTTTGCATATGAATCTCTAGTTGTTCCTGTCCCATTTGTTGAAAAGATTAGTCTTTTCCCCATTGAATTATCTTGGCACCTTTGTTGAAAATAAATTAGCCATATATGTTGAATCTCTTTGTAGGCTCTCTTTTATGTTTTATTTATCTTTATGGCTAGCTTTAGGGTAATACCATATTCTTTTGAATAATGTAGCTTTTTACATTTTTTAAAGATATTTTATCTAGGGATCCCTGGGTGGCGCAGCGGTTTAGCGCCTGCCTTTGGCCCAGGGCGCGATCCTGGAGACCCGGGATCGAATCCCACGTCGGGCTCCCGGTGCATGGAGCCTGCTTCTCCCTCTGCCTGTGTCTCTGCCTCTCTCTCTCTCTCTCTCTGTGACTATCATAAATAAAACTAAAAAAAAAAAAAAAAGATATTTTATCTATTTATTCATGAGAGACGCAGAGAAGCAGAGACATAGGCAGAGGGAGAAGCAGGCTCCCTGTGAAGAGCCTGATGTGGAACTTAATCCCAGGACCCCAGGATCATTACCCGAATCAAAGGCAGCAGATGCTCACCAACTAAGCCACCCAGGTGCCTGAGTAATGTAGCTTTCAGATAAGTTTTAAAATCTAAGGAAGTAAACTCTTCCAACTTTATTCTTATTTTCAAAAAATTTTTGGATATTATAGGTCCTTTGTTCATATAAATTGTAGAATCAATTTGTTTTTACAAAAAGTCCTGCTGGGATTTTTATTGACATCATGTTGAACCAATAGACCAATTTGGGAAAAATTATCATCCTAATAGTATTGAGTCCTCTGATCAACAAGTATGATGTATTTCTCTATTTATGTAGGTCTTTAATCTTTCTCACCAGCATTTGGTAGTTTTCTGTACAAGTCTTACACATATTTTGCTATATTTATCCCTAAGGATTTCATTTTTTTATGTTATTGTATATAAATGCCATTATAAAATTTCAATTCCCAAGTATTTGTTGTTGGCATATAGAAATCTAATTGAATTTTTATTTTGAATGTATATTCTATCTTACTAAACTCATTTATTAGTTTTAGTAGCTCTTTTGTAGATTCTGTAGGACTTTTCAATGTAGACAATCTTGTTTGCAAATATAGTTTACTTCTTTTCTGACCTGCATGTCTTTATTTATTTGTCTTCCCTTATTGGAATAGTTACGACCCCTAATGTTGAACAAAAGTGGTGAGACTGATACTCTTGTCTTTTTAGCAGTCTTAGGGGGAAAGCAGACAATTTCACCATTAAATGTGATGTTAAATGTAGGTCTTAACAAATGCCTTTTATCAGTACAATTGAGGAATTCTTTTCTACTGCTAATTTGCTGAGATTATTTTTCTGCATCTATTAAGGTAACCATATGGTTCTTTTCCCTTATTCTGTTAATACGGTGAATTACATTAATTTTCAAACATTAAACAAACCTTGTATTAGGTCATGCTATTTTACCCTTTTTATATATTGCTGGATTTTCTTAAGATTTTGTTAGGGATTATCACACTATTATAGCAAGTATTGGCCCTTTGTTTTCGTTTCTTGTAATATCTCTACCTGATTTTAGTACCAGGGTGATGCTGGCCTAAAAAATAAGTTGGGAAATATTCTCTTCTGTTTTCTGGAAGAATTTATATTGAAATAATATTCTGTCGTCTTTATATGTTTGGTAGAAGTCACCAGTGTAGTAGCTCTCTGGGCCTGAAGTTTTCTTTGTGAGAAGACTTTTGGCAACAAATTCAATTTCTTTGGTAGATATGAACTGCTCAGGTCATCTATTTCTTTTTGAGTGATGTTTGGTGATTTATATCTTTCAAGGAGTTTCTCCATTTCATCTAAGTTGTTGAATATATTGGCATAAAATTGCTTATAATATTCCCTTATACTTTTAAGGTCTGTAGAATCTGTAGTAACATCTTCTCTCTTATTACTGATACTAACTTTTTCCTGATCATTCTGGCTGGATAGTTGCCAATTTTATTAATTTTTCAAAGAAGTAACGTTTGATTTTCATTGAGTTTTTTTCCTATTGCTTTCTGGTTCTGTATCATCCAATTCTACTCTAATCTTTATTCTTTTCACTTTGAATTTTATTTGCTCTTTTCTAATTTCTTAAGTTCAGAGCATTACTTTGAGATTGTTTTTTCTTTTCTAAATGTATACAGTTGATGCTTTTAATTTCTTCTAAGCACTACTTTACTACATTACTCAAATTCTGACATGAGTATTTTCATTCAGTCCGAAATATAATTTCCTTTGTATTTTCTTTGTTGGCCATAGGTTATTAAAAATGTTTTTAATTTCAGATGTTCTCAGATACCTTACTGGCTTCTAACTTAGTTATAGTCAGAAAACATTATATTTTTTAAAAATTTACTGACTCTTGTTTAATGGTCCAGAATTTGGTCTATTTTGATAAAAGTTTCATGTGCACTTAAAAAGCATGTGTGTTCTGCTATTGTTGAGTACTTTCTTCTATAATGTAAATCACATCAAGTTGGCTAATAATGTTGATCTAATCTTCTACATTCTGATTTTCTGTTTTATGGCTTACATCATCCCACTGTAATTTCAGTCTTTGCTTCATATATTTTGATACTCTTTTATTAGGTGCATACACATTTAAGATTGTTAGGCCATTTGATTAATTGAACTCTTTATAGTGGAAAGTACTTTGCTTTATATCTATTCATGTATCAGTGTATCCACTCCAGCTTTATTTTGGTTAGTGTTTATCTGGCATATTTTTCCTTTTTTTACTTTTAACTTATCTGTATATTTAAAGTTGGTTTTTGATAACCAGCATACAATTGGATATTGATATTTTTATCACAGCCTCTGCCTTTTAATTGGAATACTTAGACCCTTTACATTTAGTGTGATTATTTATATGGTCAAGTTTAAATAAAATCTTCCATCTTGTTATATATTTTATGTTTGTCTCATCTCTTTTTTTCATCCTCCCTTCTTCCTTTTTTGATAATTATGTATTTCTAATGATTTTATTTTCTCTCCATTGATGGTTTCTCAGCTGTACCTCTCTTTGTTTTTCTTTTTTAGTTAATGCTCTAGGATTTACAAGTTCATCTTTTACCTATCACAGTTAACCTTCAAACCTTATATGTATTATATCACTTTATGTCTAAGAACCTTAAAAGAATACTTCCATTTCCCCTTCATGTTCTGTGTTATTTTTGCTTACAAAAAATATTATTTCTACATGTATTATAAACCCCACAATAAAATTACTGTTATATTTGCTTTAAACAATTACCTTTTAGGGAAGTTATTTTTTAATGAGGAAAAACATCTTTTATATCTGCCCATATACTTTTTAAAAAATTAGGTACTTTTGGAGTTTTTGTTTGTTCTATTGTTTCAGAGTTGATTAGAAGGATCTAGAAAGGTTAAATGCAAAATAGGAAAGGAATGATCTGCAAGGCTCATTCAAAGCAGCCATAAAGGGATGGGCCTTAGGATGAATGGATGGCTTCTCTATTGTAACAGGAAGAGGTGAGGAGAGAGTGTAGATATGAGTAAACTTACATTTAGTATCAAGATAATGAATTCCATTTCTAATAGATGAGAGTGAGGGAGCAGAAAAGTAGAAAAGTAGTGCTTGCTGGGACAGGCTGGTGTGCTGGCCAGAGATTGTCACAGAATTACGCAGCATTTTGGATGATCCTTTTGCTGATGATGAACCAATGTGCCTTATTATATATGACTTTTCTCCATATCTTTGGCTATTTGGATTTACATAAGAATAAAATTGACAGTTGGCTTTATGAGAATTGACATTTGAATAGTTGTGAAAGTCAGAAAAAGAAATCTCAGGTATTGCAAAGTGTGTTACTGAGTGATGGACTCTGGGCTCTGAGCTGAAAGGCTGAGGCACTGTTTCAGCTTTGTGGTTGGTACACTTGAACAAGCAGATGAGCAAGTAAAGCTGAGATGTTAGTGATTTGGGAGATGGAGCTGCAATGGAATAGTTGCTAGTGATGAAAAAGCGAGGCATGGCCTTGAGTGTGGACAGGTTGGGAAGAGTGAGAGGGAGATCTAGGGAAGATGGAGGGGAAGATAGAAGAATTGGGAAGTGAGGTCACCCAGGGCTTGGCTGGGATGGGTGGCAACAAAGACTGTCAGCTGGTTGCCAGAGTCTTTGAAGAATAAATTTGGCAAATTGACCCCTAACAGGTTTCTCCTAACCTGTAACTGTTGTTGATCTTTGATAGGAAGCAGTGACAGCAGTATATACTTTGCTAGTAGTGATTATTCTTCTGAAATCACCTCAAATGGGCAGCAGTTTCAAGATGTACAGGGAAAAGAAACATTTCCCGGTTTAGCTGAAGAGTCTATGTGGAGAATGATAAAACAAACACCTGAGTGCATTCTGATGACATATCAGGTACCTGAGAGGTAAGAAAGCACTTTAGAAGACCTACTTTTATATGAGTTTTTTTTATAGTTTCTTAAGTATGTTGTTTAATACTAAGTGACTTTTAAATTACGTCTTTTATACATGCTTTTAGAGAAATATATTTTCACATTCATTCGAGGTCAAGTGATGAATGATCCTAGAACAGTGGCTATAGTGACTGTACCACACACACACTCGGACCCATGCTCAACCAGCATGCTGTGCATCATGAGACCAGAAAACAAAGAAAAGCGGCGCTTCACAGGATAGCACACAAGTGCCAGAACTTTTTTTTTTTTTTTTTGGCCCTTGGTTTTTCCCATTCTTAAAAGAGAGAAGAGCTGAGGGGAATCTGTTTCTTCTGTCAGCGTCCTTCAAGCACTGCACAGATGCTTTGCACTGAGAAAAAAATGCTCTGGCTTCACCAACCTGACAAAGTGTGGATTCTGTTGTTTAACATGCACATTGTATATTAGCAAGAGATATAAAATATATGGCAAACCCAAAAAGTGCCTTATTCAGGACTGAGGTTGCTTGTTTGTCCCCAGAGTTACAGAGACTGTACTGAGAGAGGACCTGGAGAAGCTGGCCAGCATGCAGGGGCAGCAGCCCTGGTTCTCACGTGGGCAGAGGCAGGAGCTGGCCAGTGTGCACTCCTGGATTCAGAGCCAGACTGTCCCTCAAGGAATAGATATCCAGGTAAGCACAGTGACAGTAGCTATCCAGTGTGGATGTTTTTCTGGGCCAGGTGGTGCCCGAGGCACTTTATACACTTCACATGATCCCACTGAAAATACAGTCCTTACATATATTTCCACCGTAGGTGTTACTCTCCCTACTTTACCTACAACACCAAAGTAACATGTATAGATATTAAATAATTTATATATGGTTGCACAGTCCCTCTTATTTTGACCACAGATCTTTTTGCCTGAGAGCGTATTTATTGGTTGGAATGTTACAGGGCACCTGCTTTGATATATGATTGAGGGGTGGAGGGGACTAAGGGATTTGCATTTCAGATACTCAATTTGTGTGTGAATGGAGTAAGATTCATACTAGAGGAAGTGTTCATGCAGGATTTTCCGTGAGACCCAGGTGGTCTTTTGCTGTTATGAGATCTTCTCAATAAGATCATATGCGAACGGCCTGGGCAATGGAGCTTTGATTTGCCAGTGGTCCTCATGGTGGCTCTGTGGAATGGTTGTGACAGTTGTACCAGTAATGAGCCCTTTATTCCCTCAGGTGTCAAGATGTGAATGTGGGATGTGATCATGTGTGAAGTTAAGAACTCTAGCAAGAGAAGTAAGCTAGGTGTTCAGAACAGTGTGATATTAAGGCTTCTGAAGTAAATATGTGCTGGAATCCTCCCCACCCTCATTTTTAAAGAACAGAACGAGTTCCTGGAACTTAAGGCTGGTTACAGATGGCATTGCTGAAAAGCAGGAGCTGAGCCCATTACTCATTTTAAGCATTTTCATTCTCAAAATACTATTTTGTGGGTTTTGAGAAGAGTGTATGAATGAGCCCCAAAGTAATATAAGCAAAAGTGTGTAAACAATTGTCCTATTCCTTCTAATGATAAGGAATGAACTGTCACATAAGCTCTTCTTAGATGTGAATTGAATAAATTGGGGACTAGAAATAAGGTGCTTGGCCAACATATTATGGATTTTAAAACTTTTCAGATGATGGTACATCATGCTGTCTGCTTTTGTTCTTTCTTGGAGGACTGTGTCACTTGTGAAAGCAAGGAATCCGTCCATGTCTTCCCAGAATCCTGTGGTCACACTCCAGCAGCGAACAGCAGTTGAGGGACTGTGGAGACACACTTGCCGGGACCCCCTGGACAACCAGACCTCTTTGTGCATCTCTTTAAACCCCTGACTTCCAAGTGACCATGAAGTTGTCACTGAGTGTTATGGTTTTCCCTTCTTGATTTTTTTAATCAGCATCATTTTTCTGAAGCGGATGTCGTATATACAGTCTTTTATATCTGTGTTCCTGGTGCATTAAAGCTGTCAGGTTCTGATTCCGCTGTCCTCTGAGATTGGATGGCCTCTAGAGAATTGTGTACACAGCACCCAAAAACAGTGGTAGCCAGAGGTATAGCCAGAAATAGCCCCGAACCTTGGCCTTCTTTATTTCGTTCTGTTGTTACAGAAATCATTTTCCCCATGAGAGACCTTAAGGACATCCTACCTAAATGGTTCCCATAATTGTAGTACTTTCATCTGGTTCTTGCACAGCTTGGTGCTTCTCTCCATGACTCAGATGAAACATTCTCATTTGCCCATAACATAAGTCACTTTGGTATTTACCAGTAGTAACAAATACCACCACCCATCGGTATACTGGAAATACCTAGTTGTTAGGGTTGGATTTTGAGCTTTGTTCTTGTAGATGCCTTTTCTTTTAATTTTCCACCTTCAGCTGAAATTCCCAAAGTCTTACCCTAATAATCAGTCTATTTACCATGAGCTTATTCCTTGGAGAGTTGAAGTTAGCTTTTGGATGTGTGATGTTAAAACAAAAAGAGCTCTTCGCTTAATCAGTGATATTCCCCTTTCTAATGTTTTTGTTTTTAAAATAATGATTGTAAAAAGTTTCAGAAGTTACGTAAAAAATAATTACTGTTCTTTTATGCCTTGGTGTTTAAATGTTGCCTCACCAAAACCAACAGTTAACTCTTTCTTTCCAATCAATTTACACACAAGAGGTCTGGCCATCTTTGCTGGAGATCTGTTAAGTGCGAAGACGGGCTGCACGGTAACAGTGGGTGTCCACGAGAGCACAGCCATCCTCATCTTCGCAGGGGTACAGGCTTGGCCAGAGGTCAGTGCACTGCACTGGCCAGCTGTCATTGTATTTTCTAGGAAGTGAGTGGATTGTTTACTTGATAAGTTAGCTCCCTGTTCTTTAGAGAAGTCAGTGATTCCTGCCCAGACTCGGAATGACAGATGACCCACGCAGACCAGAAAGAGGAATAGAAGCAAGTGAAGGAGCAGTAACGTTTTATCTTTATGTAACAGGCTGATTTTTCTTTTTGTTGTTGTTTTGTTTGTTTTAAGAAAATACACTTCCTCCTTTCAAGTTTTATACCTTTCTATAAAAATACATCCTGTTAATAATTAGGAGACTCATCCTTTTTATCCATGATGACTGTTGGGTCCTGATTCTCAACTCCCATAGCTTGGATCTCCTTTCTAAAGTACATTTCCCTGGAAGGTAATTCTGTGTGTCAGAGCCATTTTCAGATGCTGAGCTGTTCCATGCAAATATTCCAATGTGGTAACTCAGGAGCTCTCATATTCTACTCCACCCTGATCGCTGGGTGATTTCTGAAGCCCTTGTCATGTTGGTTAAGTGGCGCAGTATTTTTGCCACTGGTGAAAAATCAAATTTTTAAAAACTAACCAGCTCAGATATTGTCCATCAGTGGAGTCATTATGACCTTCTGTAGGGTTAAAAATTTTAATTTATATGAATCAGAAATAATGTGTGGCTGTCAGAGGTCATTCCGATTCATGCAGCACATTTTATACCTTATGCTCTCCAGTCACAGAAGCACCTCTTTTTCATTCTTTCTGGATATTTGTTTGAATTTGCTGATCTCATTGCCTTAGTACACAGTTTATGTGTACTAAAAAGTGCGTATTATACCAGACTTCATATGAAACTGGTGCTTGTTGTAGGCAGATCTGTAATATCGTTGATGACTTTCCTATGGTGATAAGTAGACTAGATATATTTAGAGATTTTGCACCATGATGCTCGTACTGCTGGAGGGGGGAGAGGAGGCTGAGCAGTGACACTGCTGCCCCATGAGGAGGCTGTACCCATTTTTACACTTTGTTGTTTCAAGTTTATTAACTTTTTTTTTAAGATTTTATTTATTTATTCATGAGAGACACAGGTTGGGAGAGAGGCAGAGACGCAGAGGGAAAAGCAGGCTCCATGCAGGGAGCCTGATATGGGACTCGACCCCAGGACTCCAGGATCACGCCCTGGGCTGAAGGCAGGTGCTAAACTGCTGAGCCACCCAGGGATCCCCCATATAAACTTTTTATATCAATAACTACAGAAATTGGTAATAAAAATAGATATTATAGGTTTCCATGTTTACATAAATGTTACCCAAAAGGCTGCATTTCCTTGGGTAAGAGGTCAAGATTTATGAAAAACAGAATGCTGTGTGAGTGGAGTTGTTTGGCAATTAAGAAAAACTTCATTATAATTCACAAGGTAAATTTAATCTAAACTGAAATTTTGTTTCAACTGAATTTATAATTATATGAATTTACTTGTTTTTAATGCTTACTAGTATTTTCAGTCAGGTATCTTTTTTAAGTAAAAACAAACTGGGTACATGTGGAACTTGAGACGTTTTTGTAATGTCAATAAACCTTTGCCCTGAATATGGATTTTTTTATCATCTTGATAAAATGCATTGCAAGGTGCACAGATCAGCACTGGTTTTCTCAGCAACACTTTGTGTTTGCCTTGTCACAGCGTCTGAGCTCTTGCTATGTTTTCAAATTCCTTATCTCATCAAGCCCTCCCAGCAGCACCGTGTATATTGTTAACACTCATTTCAGTGCCTAGTCCATAAAATTCAGTATCAGAAGCACTCATTCAGATTCCGTACAGCAAACTTGTACTTCACAAAGTGTGTAACTGGCAGCAACAGAATTTCAGAATTAAAACATGGGACAAGGTCCTGAAGCCGACACTGTACATATTATCCTCATCACATCGTTTTCACCTTTCTGTAGCAAACCAGTGACACCAAAAATAGCTAGGTGTTTATCAGTGTACATGGCTCTACGAGAGGCTGTTCCAGGCACTTTCCATGAATTGTTCATGCTCACAACCACCTGAGAGAGAAGCATTGTTGGAATCCCCATTTTGCAGACAAGGACGCTGAAGCAGAGGGAGTTCTAATGGGGTCAAGGACTCCCCCTGTGCTCTGTGCCCTGTGTGTGGAGAGCAGGGATTGGAATGCTTGAATCCCACCCCAGAGCCCCATCCATGGAGTAGTTGCCTAATGTCACTGAAACAAGGGCCAGGGTTCACAGTTACCCTGCACTGGGATTCCACAGAAGCTCTTTCTGGCATCATAAATATAAAATAGTTTTGTGGTGCCAGAGTTGTGTGTTAGAGAACTAGTATTAGCTCCTTTTCAACGTGAGATACTACGGTGTCATCATAGCTATTAGTGTCAACATGATCTCTGAGACGGTGCATCCATTCTTTGAGTTTGAGACATCTTTCTCTATAGATTTGTCCTTGTCTTAAACCCAGAATGTGAAAGCTTTTTTCTTTTTTTTTTTTTAAGGATTTTATTTATTTATTTGAGAGAGACGGCAGGCACAGAGGGGTAGGGGAGCCCTGTGAGAGGTTTGATCCCAAGATCCATGAGATCATGACCTGAGCCAACTGAGCTCCCCAGATGCCCCTCAGAAAGTGAAAGTTTTTTTAAACATCTGTTGTATGAGAGATCTTTGATGCTTGACAAGCACAGCAGTGATTATGTGGGGCAGTTTGGTACAGCTCTGAGTCTCCATTCCTTCTGAACTGCTGTGTGGTTGATGGCAGAGACCAGCCGGGCAGTTCGTGTTGGCTGCGCTTTCCCGTGTGCTTGCTTCAGGCTGGGAGCTCACACTCTGGATTCTGTACATGTTGAAGCTGCATCTGTGTGGGCACTTTAACAGAATTTAAGTCAGTGTGTACACACACATAAGTGGGTTTTAACCCGGGAGGCGCCAGAGTGGCTCAGTCAGTTGAGCTTCCGACTCTTGATTTCAACTCAGGTCATGACCTCTCACGGGTCCTGGGATCGAGCGTCACATTGGGTTCCAAGCTCTAAGCATGGAGTCTGCTTCAAGAAGCTCTCCCTGAAAAAAAAAAAAAAAGAAGAAGCTCTCCCTGTCTCTCTGCCCCTCCATACCCCCCTACCCCACTCTCACTCTCACTCATGCGCTCACTCTCTAAAAATACATTAATAGGGGATCCCTGGGTGGCTCAGTGGTTTGGCACCCACTTCGGCCCAGGGCGTGGTCCTGGGGTCCCGGGATCGAGTCCCACATCAGGCTCCCTGCGTGGAGCCTGCTTCTTCCTCTGCCTGTGTCCCTGCCTCTCTGTCTCTCTCTGTCTCTCATGAATAAATAATTTTTTAAAAAATAAATAATAAATTAAAATATATCAATAATAATAAAAGTAAAGTGAACAAACCAGGCTCTTCCTTTCATTCCACAATCTGAGCTCTCCCTCTTCAGCTTTCTTCCCTCTGTAGGAGACGATCTAGTATAAATGAGCTGTGAGCCCTGAGCTCACAGGAACCGAGATCAAATGGATGTCAGTGTTAAGAGATGAAAGCTTTCAAGTGTTCAACACTTTGGCAGCTAAGGGGGATCTGAGCATGTGAACTCACCTGCCAAAAACTGAGAAGTCAGACATTTACCAGCTCACATCTTTATATATCTTTCACCTAGGGAATTTTTCCACTCCAAGGTATTGATTTTTTTTTTTTAAGTAATGTTATTTTCAAGGTTAAGAGGACATGGAAATAAGATAATATTTAAGCGATTTGTAGTTTAACTATTTTAACTAAATTTTATTTTTGTGACTTTTTCTTAATTTTTGTTCACTTATTAGCTTTACTTTTAATTTCTCAGAGAATTCTTTATTTTATTTTATTTATTTTTTATTTTATTTATTCATGAGAGAGGCAGAGACATAGGCAGAGGGAGAAGCAGGCTCCATGTGAGGAGCCCAATGTGGGACTCGATCCTGGGACTCCAGGATCATGCCCTGAGCCAAAGGCAGATGCTCAACCATTGAGCCACCCAGGCATCCCTCAAAGAATTCTTTAAGGATAAATTGATGGAAGGAAAAATTGCAAATTTTCAGGACACATCTATAAGTAAAATAACCACTCGTGATATTTGCAAAACATAGATGATTTATTTTGCTTAGGTTTTTTTTTTCATATTTTCAAATCAGGCATTTTTGTTTTTAACTTTCTAAGATGATTGTTTTTGAGTTGACTAGTAGGTGTTCATTTCACTTCAGACACAGTATTTCCAGAAGCATTCAGAGGAAGGTCCATGTTTCTTATCTGGTTTTCTGATTCTGCCCAAAAGATGACTCAGGAAAATGTTAGGATCTTGTCCAGAGAAAGCCTGAAACTAAACCCACAAACAAACAAACATAGGTTATCAGTGAATTAAGACCCCTACAAGAAAAAGGAACCATAGCTAAAACTTAGGACCTTTGAAAAGTGTGTGTGCTCTGTTGTGTGGAATGTAATTGCGGTGAGAGCCCGGAGTGTGATGGCTTTGGAGGGACTCCCTGCGCCCAGCCAGGGGTCCCCCTGTCCACTGAGCCCTCTGATTGCCATGATGTGTCCCAAGCCCTCATTGACCTATTTCTATTTAAATACTCGACCAGTAGCCTGTTCTGTACATCACTATCTTCTGTGTGAAATAGATCCTGTATTTCCCCTGAAATTAACCTTTATTTCTCACGAACTTCCAGTGACAGCAGGGCTGCTGGCTCCTGGACCATAAGTGGGAATGATGAAAGAGAAAGCACAGGGGTGACAGACTGGAGAGGATGGCTTTACCTCTTGTTTGTTCTTTTAAACCTGTTACAATAATATACCCCAAACAAGCACTAGGTGAGTTCTTAGGGTCACATATAGGAATCAGAATTTAGAAAAATTAATGCTTTGAAATAACACTGGCTTGAAGGTACGATTTCAACACATGCTTGAAGGTATGATTTCACCCAGGGCAAACTCCGTTCAAGAATTTAGAACCGTTTGAAGTATAAAATGCTTCACCTAACTGTGATAAATAGAGTCACTTACCTTTCTCATACTTCCTTTATGGTGAGCAATGTCGGTACTGAGACCTGTAAGACAGTATTTGAAAACTATTCATCATCAAATCTGTGATTTCTGTTTTATGCTTATTTTACTTAGACTAGAAGAGGACTAAGTCATGTCTAGTTTCTAATCTTTCTGTTTTCACTCTGTAGCGATACTTACTTGAAGGCAGCTAGGCAGGGACCCTTATTCTTTCTTGCTGATAGAATTCCCAGAGGGCACTACATTCTCCCCAAGAAGTTAGCAGTTCAGTAGTTTATTAAAAACATTTTAAATGAACGAGTTTTCTTAATATTAAACAGTGTCTATTAAAAGGCTCCATTTCGGGGCGCCTGGGTGACTCAGTCTCTTAAGTGTCCGAGTCTTGATTTGGGCTCAGGTCATGATCTCAGGGTCCTGAGATCGAGCCCCCTCAGACTCCATGCTCAGCAGGGAGCCTACTTGAGATTCTCCCTCTCCCTCTGCTCTGCCCTTCCCCCTCAAAAAAAGCCTCCATTTCATTTCCAGAATGTTCTGATCACCTGTGTCAGTGCATAAAGGCATACAGTCAGAAAACAGTAAAAGCTGTTTATTGGGGGCTGGGTGTGACTGGTGAGCATTTTCCTTGCATTTTCTCATCAACTTCACAACAGCCCTGAGAGGTAGGTATGTATACAAACCCTGCCTACTGATGAAGAAACTGAGGTAACAGATGATTAAGTAGTTTGCTTAAGATTTTAGTAAGTGGGAGCAGGATTTAAAATGGCACTTACTGGAAACTGGAATAACACTCTCCTTCTCCAAATAAATCTATGCATTAAAAATATTAGATTATGCTGAGGTGCCAAGGAGAGCATGATGCATGCAAGGAGTCAATGAGAAAGAAAACAAGATTGCAGAGGAGTCTTCACACCAGAAAGGGAGAATGTTGGGCGATTTATTAGCCTGTATTATAGGTCATATTTCTATTCTATTTAATTATTATTATATTCTATTTAAACGGGTGTTTAACCTCATCTAGTAGATAGGAATAGAGAGTAATTCAGCAGCAATAAAAATTAGACCACTAGACATGCAAGAACTATTTTACCTGCTTCCCTAAGACCGTCCTCCCTCTCTGCCCCTGGTCTCTCCAGCAGCATTTGCAAAAGGGACACTCTTTCCAGTTCATCCAAGGCCAATCTTGTGTCTCCATCATGTGCTACACAGAGTAATAATACAGGTTAGTAACAGTGTTTGCCCTTTAATTACTTCTGTTCCCTATTGTCTTTGGGGGGCACTGGGGCAGGGAGAGAATACTAGAGATGTCTCAAATGCTGTGTTCGTGATTTGTCAGTAGTATTTTAACAGAGAAGTGAAGATGCTATGTCTGATTTGCAAGCTGGCAGGACAGAAAATCAGGAGTGGATCTAAGTCTGACTCTTCACTGCCATGTGTGACTTTGCCAAGCTGCTCAGCTGCCTTGAATAGGAGAGCAGAGCTGAGCTGCAGGACCAGTTAAAAAATGTTTCCACTCCAAAAGTGGTGCCTTTTGGTTTCTATTTACTGCTGCTCATTACATTTTACTTGTAGATTTTTTACTTGAGGATAAAATTGGAGAGGGAAAATGAAGGGGTGCCTCTCTGGGAGCCAAGATTGTTTATGTTCCAGTAAACCAAATAAGATGGTACCACTCCTTATCTTCCTGGCCTTCAAGATTTGAATATAATCATTATTAGAAAAACATCAGGAGATCCCTGGGTGGCTCAGCGGTTTAGCTCCTGCCTTTGTCCCAGGGCGCGATTCTGGAGTCCCGGGATCAAGTCCCGCATCGGGCTCCCGTCATGGAGCCTGCTTATTCCTCTGCCTGTGTTTCTGCCTCTCTTTCTCTCTCTCTCTCTCTCTCTCTCTCTCGTTCTCTCACTCTCTATGTCTATCATAAATAAATAAATAATCTTAAAAAAAGTCAGCCTTTGAAGTACTCTTTCAAGACTTTGATAGTAACATTTTTAATGTGAAATTTGGTCAGCTTAATATAAGATGTATGGTTAGTATGTGTAAGATGAGTATGGGATGCGCATGGACGGTGGAAGGCACACTCAGTGGAGACTTAGCACCAGGATAGCTCTCTTGGCTGGCTGCTGCTGTGCTGAAGTCAGAGGCTCCAGGAGTCCCAGAATACCAGCATGCTTGCAGCTTACAGATCTTTAGCTACAACTTCACTTGGAAGACAATGAATTGAAATCATTATAAAGGCATCTGAGTACATTCACAATATTTCTGAAGAATATTAATGAAATAACCTGCAAAATTTGGCCACACGTAAGTGTGTGTGTAATGAGGGTCATTTATGTTGGAACAAATAAATTTGAAAAATTGAGGCAAGAACTTGAAGGGAAGCCAAGTTAAGGGTTTAAGGGTTTACATAAAATGCACTCATTTGAGTTTAAAAAAAAAGTCATAATAATATGTACATTTTCGTTGAAGACAGTGATATAATCAGTCTTGATTTCATCTCATGTTTGCTTTGCACTTTTCTTTTTAAATAGCAGAGATTCAACAAAGTTAATGCCTGTTTTTAGCCAGGAACAGGACAGGAGGTCAGGAGCTGTAGCAGTGGGTAGGCAGACATGAGTGGCCAACAGTGCTTGCCCATCATCAAAAAGCCTCTTGGAGAAACTTAGACTCTAGGAATGATAAAATCAATGGTATAGAAGAGTTTTTTTTTTTCCTTAAAAAAAAAGTCTAAAAGTACCCAAAATTAAAGACAAGTTAAAATCCACTTAAAATTTTTATGCAACAATTGTTTTATGTCTTAAACTAAATTAAGAGGAAATAGCCAAACTATTATTGACTGATTTTTTTAATATGATTTTTTTTAATTCAACCTACACTTAAACTTAATGAAACATCAATCAAAAGGACAAGATACTTGACCTGGAAAATGATGTCATCTCTAGCTCCAGATTGTCCCTTTTTATTTTATTTTTTTTTAATTTTTTTTTTGATTTTTTATTTATTTATGATAGTCACAGAGAGAGAGAGAGAGGCAGAGACACAGGCAGAGGGAGAAGCAGGCTCCATGCACCGGGAGCCCGATGTGGGATTCGATCCCGGGTCTCCAGGATCGCGCCCTGGGCCAAAGGCAGGCGCCAAACCGCTGCGCCACCCAGGGATCCCGATTGTCCCTTTTTAATTCTTCAATAAACATTTTTGTTTCATATAGCACATGTCAGATGATTGCTTTTTAACTAAATATAAAAGTTTTAATCTATAATTGGAACAACCAAATTCTACATCTAATCAGTTCATTTAAAATAGAAACTAAAAGTAATGATGTTTAAAATGTAGTACAATTTTTTAATCGAAAAAAAAATCGACCAAATCAAAAGTTTGGGTTGAAAATATGACATGAAATAAGCAAAGCTACCTTTTATTTTCTCTTACACTTTAGAAAGAAAAAAAATCTAAAATGTGATCTGCAAGGATCCTCTAGTATTTTTTCCATATCTAGGATTTAATTTAACAAGACTCCTGCAAGCAAGAATTCCCATTCTTATCTCTAACTTTGCCTTTGAGACCCTTGAAGACTTTTTCAAGACAAACAGAAGGGGAACAAATTCATCTTACCTGAGAGCTGTAGGACCTCTTCCCTGGGGTCAGGGACAGGCAGAGAGAAATGAGGATGTAAGCATCCGAGGAAAAGCCAACAGGATATCAGCTTATACATGTCGGGCAAGAGACAGGAGTCTCCCTTCTTGGCTTCTGTTGCTCAGAACTTCCAACTTGCTCCTCATTCTGTGATCAGTGATTATATATATGATCCTATGACTCACATCACCCCCTCCAAAAAATTAAATTCATTGGCTATGGAGGCTAAAAGGCAATCACTTTGCATTGATGTAATTTTTCAAGGTAACAACTCATAGACAATAAATTTACTGTCATTGCCTAGTGTCCCAAGTAGGTATTATATAAAGACAGAACAGTTACGTTTATAAATCTGGCAAAAGGAATAACTGAGAGCAATAAATCATGAGTCAAAGAAAGGGTCATACATGAGTTGAAGTGGCCAAGGGAAAAGACATGGATTTGTGAGTCCTAGCAGGAGTGATGCAGAGCATGACATGGAATGTGTTGGTTTCCCTTTCCTTAATCTTTCAAGAGTGATCGATGAGTTGTCCTGTTGTACTGAGGGCTGCCATACCGGAAGAATGACAATATTTGGATTAAAACTTAAACTGGTTCTTTACATTAGTGAAGCTAAGTTAAAATGCACAGCAAACACTCAGGATCAGAGCATGTCTTAAATTTCAATATTATTCATCGAGGAGGGATGGAATACAAACCTGAAAACCTCACTGATGAATATTGCCCACACCTAACTGCTGTGTTTTGCTCCTACTCTGCCCAGCCTGGCCCCAGCCTGGACCATCACATGGCCTCCCTGTGGGTGCCCTCAGGTCCACACTCCACCCCACTGGCATCCACACAGCACAGGGATACCTCTGACACAGAAGTTGGATCATGTCAGGTCCTTGCTCAGAACCCTGTATGGACCTGAAATAAAAGTTAAAACTACAGAATTATTAGAAAAAAAACATGAACCCCTTCACAACCCTGAGGCAAGCAGACATCTCTTAGCTGAGATATCAACCATGTAAGCAAGAAATGGATAAATTGAACTGCACCAGAATTAGAAACATCTGCTCTTTGAGAAAGATACTGGTAAGGAAATGAAAAGATTGGCTATGAGAAAAGTCAGAAAACATGTCTGATGAAAGACTTCTCCATTGATATAAAATATATCTATATATAGAACCAAGTCCCAGTAAGCCAACAACCCAATGAAAGGAATGCATACATACTCCACAAGAGACAGTGTGCAAGTCTCTAATAAGGACATGAAGAAATAACATTGTTCTCATCAGAGAAATGCAAATTAAAATCACAGTGAGGGGCTGCAGTCTAAAAGACCAATGATCCCAAATGTTGGCAAAGATGCAGAGCCCCCGGGGGAATCCAAAACAGCACAACCTCCCTGGAAAACAGTTTGTAACTTTTTTATAAAGTTAAACATACATTAAAATATATAACCCCGAAATCCTTCTGCTGTCTCCATATACTCAAGTGAAATGAAAACATAGATGCAATAATCACTTGCATGTGAACATTCATAGCAGCTTTATTCATAATAGAGAACTGCGAACAACCCGAGAGGTCCATCCACAGACAAATGGATAAACAAGCCATACTAAGTCTTAGGATGGAGTTCTACTTAACGTACAAAGGAACTGCTGATAAACACAGCGTGATCTGAAAAAATTTTGTGCAGAGTGAAATAAGCCAGACCCAGGAGAGTCATGTGGCATGATTCCATTTAAATGAAATTCTAGAACTTGCAGCACACTTCCACAGGAGGTGGAGGGTTGACTGTGCAGAGATTCGGGGACTTTTGGGAGGTAATGAATGAAAATGTTCTATATCTTGACCAAGGCAGTGGTTACATGGTTATATATATGCATTGACCAAAACTTATCAAACTATACATGGGTACATTTTATCCTATGTAACTGATACCTAATAAGGTTGATTGTGTCTTAAATCTCCCTTGGTTCCTATTTCATGTTTCACTTCTTCAATGCTGCTCTCCCCTTAGAGCTTAACTCGATGGCTTCCTGAACACATTCCTGCCTCAAGATCTTTGTAGTGGCTGCTCCCCACCTGAAATGTTCTTTGCTCAGATGTGTGCCTGGCTCTCTTCCTTGCCTTCTTTGAGTGTTTGCCAGAATGCTGCTTCCTACATGAGGCCTTCCCTGAGCTGACTACTTAAAAATTGCAACAAATGGGGCGCCTGGGTGGCTCAGTGGTTGAGTGTCTGCCTTCAGCTCAGGTTGTGATCCCAGGATCCTGGGATCAAGTCCCGCATCAGGCTCCCCACAGGGAGCTGCTTCTCCCTCTGCCTGTGTCTCTGCCTCTCTCTCTGTCTCTCACGAATAAATAAAACCTTTTTTAAAAATTGCAACAAACCTATCCCCAGCATTACTCATACTCTTGCCTCTCTCAATTTATTCCATTGTACTAAGCACCTTCCAGCATGGTTACATATTTCAGGTCATTGTATGTAATAGGCACTCAGTAAATATGTTTAACCAATGAATGAGCTGTCAACCATGTGTCGGGCCTTGTTTCAGGGACAGAGTGGTGAACAAAGTAAGTTTTCTCCTCTCATGAACTGTCTCACTGGAGGCAATAGCCAACAAAATAAGTATTTGCTATGATAGTTTTTTATTGCTATAAGGAGGAATAAAGCAGAGGGAAGAGACGGTGCACAGTGAGGTAGATGGTCAGAGGGCCTGTCAAGCAGCCTCTGGGAAGGGGAAATGTGAGCAGAGACCCAGGTGGAGTTGGGGAGCCATACTTTGGGGGATCTCCCAGAGGAAATAGGGGAATGGCCTGGAAGCAGGTGAGCTTCCTATTACTGGTGAGGGAGGAGGGGCATGCTGCTAATGGGCAGGAATGGTCCAGATCCCTGGGATGGGCAGCAAGGGATTGTCAATTCCTGGACAGGGACAGTGACGATGTCAGGGAAATTTCACATGCTCACAGGTCTAGTGGGATGGAGGGTGGATTCGTCTATGCATTCAGTGGACACCTGAGCACCTATAACACTCTTCCACTGCCAGGTGGTGGACACAGCCTTGGACCAGGAGACTCCCTCTCTCTGGCTCCACACTTCCTTGCCTTTTAGCTCATTCTTTTTGCTCTTTGCAGAACTGGCTTTCTTTTCTTCCCCACATGTATTTGACCAAACATACACCCCACTGCCCAAAATTGGCCTTTCTTCAGTTTAAGAAGATCAGCTCCTACATCTTTTCTTTAAATCCAGTTTGCAGATTCCTGGGATAGAGCGTTAAACTGGCCCAGCTTTTGCTGAACGCCCGCAGGGAGGGTGCCTGGGGGCAGCTATTGCCCAAGAGAGGACCGTGGACCCAACAGACATCCAAATGGAATACCATATAGCAGGAGAAGTACATCCAGTAATCCTGCTTTCAGAATTAAAAGGAAATAATACAGCAGAAGCAAAACATTATCTGAAGGCATCCTCTACAGCCTTATCTGTGGAGTCCAAAACATTGAGTCAAAGGATGCAGACTGAACTGCATACAGGACTCAAGAAGTGATCATGTAAATGAGCAAAGCTGGCTTTGTGAATGACAATAGTGAGTGGTGGGGAGTGTGGCAAAGTGGAAAGTTTATGTTCTCTCTGAAGGTGGACTCCTACTGCTGGTTGCCAAATCTCAATATTAGAAATCTGAATTTTAAGGGCTATTCATGATTTCTCTTGGCAACTAATTAAAAAACAGGAATAACAAGAGTGCTTGGGTGGCTCAGTCAGTTAAGCATCCAACTCTTGATTTCTGCTCAGGTCTTGATCTCAAGGATGGAGCCCTGCATCGGGGCTCTGCATTCAGCAGGTAGTCTGCTTGTGATTCTCCCTCTCCCTCTGTCCTTCCCCGTGCCGTGCACTCTAACTAAATAAATAAACATAAAATTAAGAAAAAAGCAAGAATGATAAAAAGTTCTGTAAGTCCACTATGTCTGTCAAATAGTACACACCCACAAGGCACCTGGTTCAGCCTAAAATGCCCAAAATAAATGTATAAGTTAGAAGATCATGGAGCTTAGCAACACATAGTTTTAGTGATCATTCAAATAATAACTGATTATAGAAACTTGGAAAACATGGGCACCTGAGAGGCTCAATCAGTTGAGCTTCTGACCCTTGGTTTCAGTTCAGGGTGTGATCTTGGGGTCGTGGGATGGAGCCCCACATAGCTTCATGCTCAGCTCAGAGTCTGCTTGAGATTGCCTCTTCCCACTACATGTTTCTCTCTCTCTCTCTCTCTCTCTCTCTCTCTCTCTCTCGTAGATATATTTTTTAAAGATTTTATTTATTTATTCATGAGAGACACACACACACAGAGAGAGAGAGAGAGAGAGAGAGAGGCAGAGACACAGGCAGAGGGAGAAGCAGGCTGCATGCAGGGAGCCCGATGTGGGACTCGATCCCAGGTCTCCGGGATCACACCCTGGGCTGCAGGTGACGCTAAACCGCTGCACCACCGGGGCTGCCCTAAATATAAATTTTTTAAAAAAGAAAAGAGACTTGGGGGAGGCAGAGTGCCTGGGTAGCTCAGGCCTTGGGCTCAGGTCATGATCCCGGTGTTCTGAGATTGAGTCCCACATCGGGGTCCCTGCTCAGCGGGGAGTCTTCTTCTCCCTCTCTCTCTGCTGCTCCCCTCTGCTTGTGTTCTCTCTCTCTCTCTCCAATAAAAAAATTAAAAAATTTTAAAAGAGAAACTTGGAAAACAGAATAATGTTAAAGAAGTAGGATACAAGGAGATTGACCCTATGTAAAAAAATAAATAAATAAAAGAGGACTATGGACAAGAACTAGCATGTAATATTTCAAAAGTAAAAATAGTTGTGTTAGGGTAAAGGGCTATTCCATTAAAATACTATTTTATTGTATATATTGCATACCTATATATTACATATATGTATGTATGTATGTATGTATGTATTACACATGTGTGATATTATGACACCCATGAAGCAAAGTCCTGCAGTGAGGTCGGGAAGCAGGCAGGCTGAAGTGTGGGGGTTGCTGGTGTCCCTTGAGGACAATTCTGAGAGAGGTGCAGTGAACTTTAGACACCTCTTCTC